AAAAACTGAATTATAATTTTGATATGCTACTAAGTAAGAACTGTGAAAACATTGTCAGTGTGAGGGATCATGGAAGTTACATTGAGATCATCCCTCATGGTTGATTGATCATCCCTCATGGCCACTCTGGTTGATTCCAGTTTGTCATAATAATCAATATTACCAATATTAATCAATATAATCAATAGTATAATCAATATTGTAGCGGCCCCTTTTTTGAGTCTATTCCTGCATACTTGCTAGATATTTCCTTGAGGTAGATTCCTATGAGCAGAACTCACCTTTGTTACAGGTAATGCCCGTGAAAGAATATCAGGAAGATTGGAAGAGACCAGCCTAGTGAAAGAAACATCTAGTGATTAGTTAAAAACAATCCGATAGACAAGATATGCTGAGGTCTTGACTTGATGACTGCAAAGCTTGCCATGTTAAAAGCCATTTATTACACTCTCTTCTCCCACCATCCAAAAATTGGAAGAACTCCACGGGAGCAACACTCGTAGCTACAGGGACAATGGCAGAATTACTTTATCTTTTTGAGACCGGGTCTTGCTCTGTTGCCCAGGCTGCAGTACAGTGGTGCAATCACGCCTCACTGTAGCCTTGACCTCCTGGGCTCAAGTGATCCTTCCACCTCAGCCTCCTGAGTAGCTGGGATTACAGATGTGTGCCACCACACCCAGCTAATTTTGTTGATTTTTTTGTAGAGACAAGCTCTTGCTATGTTGCCCAGCCTGGTCTCGATCTCCTAGGCTCGAGCGATCCTCCCGCCTTGGCCTCCCAAGTGCTGGGATTACAGGCATGAGCCACCACTCCTGACTCTGGAATTATTTTCAAATTGCACTGACTGACATAATCACAGTTCAGACTGTCAGTTTGTATTTTGGCTGTCTAATGGACCTGTTTGAAGTTACTCCCTATATTCTGAGCCTCCAGGAAAGGAAGATATATCTGGAAAATGCTCCCGGGTTGCTCAAGCTATCAGAGAAACAACTACCTCTCTCATAGCTCAGCGGCCAGTAGAATCAATAGCATACTAGTAGTTCTTACAGGGACAAGACATTGTTCCTGATCTCCTGAGGAAGACTTTTCCTTAGCTGTGGAAACTTTAGGAGGTATAGCTGTAGGACCTTTGAGGAGATGAAGCAGAAAAATCTACCTGTGAATCTTTGATATCATCAGGAATAATGTTCTTCCCAGTCTTCTGAAGCAGAATAAGCATTACGTAGATTTTCCGAAAAAGACATGACTTTGACTGCTACATCCTGAATGGCCACCATAATAGCTTTACCCTTTGAATTGCAGTCTCTTGTTTTGTTTTTGTTTGTTTTTGATGGAGGTTCGCTCTTGTTGCCCGGGCTGGAGTGCAATGGCACGATCTCTGCTCACTCCAATCTCTGCCTCCTGGGTTCAAGCGATTCTCCTGCCTCAGTCTCCTGAGTAGCTGGGATTACAGTTGCCTGCCACCACGGTCACCTGATTTTTTGTATTTTAAGTAGAGGTGGGGTTTCACCCTGTTGGCCAGGCTGGTCTTAAATTCCTGACCTTAGGTGATCTGCCCCCTCAGGCCTCCCAATGTGCTGGGTTTACAGGCGTGAGCCACTGTGCCCAACACCCCCCCTCTTTTTTTTTTCAAATATAAGCCCAGATTTTTTACAGGCATACTTGAAAGATATTACAGGTTTGTTTCCAAACCACAATAAAGCTAATGTGGCAAAAGAGTCACACAAATTTTTTTGGTTTCCCAGTGCATGTAAAAGCTATGTTTACACTAGACTGTAGTCTATTAAATGCACAATAACATTATATCTAAAAAAAAAAAAAAAAAAAAAACTCAATTTTAAAATACTTTTTTTCTAAAAAAAAAAAAATGCTAATGATCATCTGAGCCTTCAGCCTGTTGTAATCTTTTTGCCAGCGGAGGGTCTTGCCTTGATGTTGATGCCTGCTCACTGATCAGTGTTGTGGTTGCTGAAGGTAGGGGTGGCTGTGACAATTTCTTAAAATTAAACAGTAATAAAGTTTGCTACATCAATATGCTCTTCCTTTCATGAAAGGTTCTCCATAGCATGCAATGCTGTTTGATATAATTTTATCCATAGTAGAAAATCTTTCAAAATTGGAGTAAATCCTCTCCAACCCTGCCATTGCTTTATCAACTAAGTTTATGTAATATTCTATAGCCATTATTGTCATTTCAAAATGTTCAACAAAAACATATTCACCAGCAGTAGATTCCATCTCAAACCACTTTCTTTGCTTATCCATAAGAAGCAAATTCTCATTTGCTGAAGTTCTATTACGAGATTGCAGCAATCCAGTCACTTCTTCAGGCTCCATTTCCAATTCTAGTTCTCTTGCTGTTTCTATCACTCTGGAGTTACTTACTTCACTGAAGTCTTGAACCCATCAAAGTTATTCATGAGGCTTGGAATTAACTTCTTCTAAGCCCCTATTATTGTAGATATTTTGACCTCCTCCCATGAATTATGAATGTTCTTAATGGCATCTAGAATCATGAATTCTTTGCAGAAGATTTTCAGTTTACTCTGCCCAGATCCATCACAGGAATCACTGTCTATGGCAGGTCTAGCCTTATAAAATGTGTTTTTAAATAACAAGACTTGAAAGTCAAAATTACCCCTTGATTCATGGGCTGCAGAAAGAATATTGTGTCAGCAGGCATGACAAGAACATTTATTTCCTCATGTATCTTCATCAGAGCTCTTGGTTGACCAGGTACCTTGTAGGTGTGCAGTAATATTTTGAAAGGAATCTTTTGGTCTGAGCAGTAGGTCTCAACACTGGGCCTCAAATATTCAACAAGCCATGCTATAAATAGATGTGCTGTCATCCAGGCTTCGTTTTTCCATTTATAGAGCACAGGCAGAACAGATTTAGCATAATTTTTTTTGGAAACAGGGTGTCACTCTATCACCCAGGCTGGAGTGCAGTGGCATAATCACGGCTCACCACAGCCTCAACTTCCTGGGCTCAAGGTAATCCTCCCACCTCAGCTTCCTGAGTAGCTGGGACTGCTGGTACCCACCACCATACCCAGTTAATTATTGTATTTTTTGTAGAGACAGAGTTTTGCTATGTTGTCAAGGCTGGTCTTGAACTCCTAGGCTCAAGCCATCGGACCACCTTAGCTTCCCAAAGTGCTAGGATTACAAGCATGAGCACCATACCTGGCCGAGTTAGCATAATTCTAAAGGGCCCTAGGAAGCCAGGCATGTTGGCACATGCCTGTAGTCCCAGCTGTTAGGGAAGTTAAAGTGGGATAATCACTTGAGCCAGGGGTTTGAGACTATCCTAAAAATAGTAAATAAATAAATAAATGGACCTAGGATAATAGAAATGGTATAAGAGCATTGGCTTCAACTTGAAGTCACCAGCTGCATCAGCCCCTTTCAAGAGAGACGGCCTTGTTAACAAAGCTTTTCAGGTACTGAAACCAGGCCTTGACGTCTCTCTAGTTATAGAAGTCCTAGATGGCATCTTCTTCCAGTAGAAGCCATCTACATCGAAAGTCAGTTGTTTGGTGCAGCCATCTTCATCAATGATCTTAGCTACATTTTAGGGATAGCTTGCTGAGCTTCTATGTCAGCCCTTGCTGCTTCTTGCACTTTTATGTTGTGAACAGCCTATTTCCTTAAACCTCATGAACCAAACTCTGCTAGCTTCCAACATTTCTTCTGCGGCTTCCTCACCTCTCTCAGCCTTCAGAGAACTGAAAACACTTAGGGCCTTGCTCTAAACTAGGCTTTGGCTTAAGAAAATGTTGTGGCTGGTCTGATCCAGACCTCAAACTTTCTCCATCTCAGCAATAAGACTGTTTTGCTTTCTTACCATCTGTGTGTTCATTGGAGTAGCACTTTTCATTTCCTTCAAGACCTTTTCCTTTGCATTCACAACTTGGCTGACTGGCACAAGAGGCCCAGCTTTCAGCCTGCCTTGGCTGTCAATATGTCTTCCTTATTAAGTGTAATCATTTCTAGCTTTTGATTTAACGTGAGAGATGCATGACTCTTCTTTTCACTTGAACACTCATAAGCTATTGTAAGGTTATCAATTGGCCTAGTTCCAATATTGTTATGTCTCAGGGAATGGGGAGGCTTGAGAAGAGGGAGAGAGATGGGAATGGCCCATCAGTGGAGCAGTCAGAACACACATGCCATTTATCTTATATGAGCGTGGTTCATGGTGTCCCAAATCGATTACAATAGTAACATGGAAGATCACTGATCAGCCGGGCATGGTGGCTCATGCCTGTAATTCCAGCACTTTGGGAGGCCAAGGTGGGCAGATCATGAGATCGGGAGTTCAAAACCAGTGTGACCAACATGGTGAAACCTCGTCTGTCTACTGAAAATACAAAAATTAGTCAGATGTGGTAGCATGCACCTGTAATCCCAGCTACTCAGGAGGCTGAGGCAGGAGAATTGCTAGAACCTGGGAGGCAGAGGTTGCAGTGAGCAACTGAAATCATGCCACTGTACTCCAGCCTGGACAACAGAGTGAGATTCTGTCTCAAAAAAAAAAAAAAAAAATCACTGATCATAGATCACCATGGCAGATATAATAATGAAAAGGTTTGAAATATTATGAGAATAGCCAAAATATGACAAACACAAAGTAAGCACATACTATTTGAAAAATGATATCATAGACCTGCTTGATGCAGCTTTCCCACTAACCTTCAATTTGTAAAAAACACAATATCTGAGAAAAACAATAAAGCAAAGCACAATAAAACAAGGCATGCCTTTACTCCTTCATACTAATGTGCACTTGGCAGACACTAGTTCTGGAAGACCAAAAAATGGCTCCCCCAAAGATAACCATATCAAATCAGGTAACCTGTAAATGTTACCTGATTTGGGGAAAAAAATAAAGAAAACAGTCTTTGCAGATGTGATTAAGTTAAGCTTTGAAATGAGATAGTCTTGTACGATTGGGAAGGTCCTAAATTAATGATGACTAACTATCCTTATAAGGAAAAAGCAGAGTGAGATTTGAGACAGAAGAGGAAAAGATACAAGACGAGAAGCCACGTAAAAATGGAGGCAGAGACCGAAGTGAAACAGCCACAGCCAAAGAAGGTCTGAAGCCACCAGAAGCTGGAAGAGGCAGAGAACAGATTGTCCTCATGAGGCTCAGAAGTCCCTGTGTTCACCTTGATTTTGGATTTCTGAACTTCAGAATTGAGAGAGAATAAAGTTCTGTGTTTTCAACCACTTGTAGTGATGTTATGGCAGCCGTAGAAAACAAAAACACTCACTTTCTATCACAGTTGTCCTTCTCACCATTACTGAAGGCTCCTTCCTTTTTAACAAAAAATCAGACGAGTGAATTTAAATCTTGGATTGAGGCTCAGGGAACTAGGTGGGTTTTAGGACTCCACTAACAGTTGTGACCTGCAGCCTTGGCATCTTGCCTGGTCCTGGGCTCACCTTGTCTGATAGCAGAGAGATTGTGTATTCAGTAGAAGCTCTTCAAGCCAGAGCTTCTCAAAAGTTTATGTTAAACACAAATGGCCAGGCCCCACCTACAGCATTTCTCTTTCAGTAGGTCAAAAGTGAGTCCTGAGAATTTGCATTTTAAGCAAATTCCCAGGTGATGCTGCAGACTACGGCAAATCTTTAGGATGATCAAGTATCTTTACTTGGCTTTTCTCATCTTTGAACTCCCAAGAGCTTCTAGCATACTGCCCTGGTCTCAACAATATTCAATAAAATGAGTTGGATCACTTTTTGCTGTTAAACTTTTGAGGACAAGAACCTTGTCTTGCTTTTTTTGTATCTTTAGCACCTCCATTAAGGCCAGGAAACAGTGGGTGCTAGTAAGAAACAGATTAAAGGGTGGGTGTGCCAGGAAAACTCCAACTGATAAAGCATGCTGAGGCATCTCGGTGCTGGTGAAAATACCAAGAGATGCAAAACATATGAGAACCCCCTTAAGAAATGTATGCACGTACTTCAGTGCGTCCTTCCAGGTTAGAAGTGCAATTTGGAGGGCACTTGTGGTGTAAAAAGAGGTGTTTGATAAACTGCTTTGCAAAGGAGAGCACCTCTGGTTATACACAAGCTTCTGTTTTACTGAGCAAATATGCAGGTTTGGGGGCAGAGCTGAATTGTTCCAGACAGTAAAAGGAACAATTAATCTCTCCTCTCTTCAGTTTTTCATGGTGTGTTCAGTCTCTTAAATTGGCATTGACCACATATAGATTTGAAATTGAGTGACAGATGTTAGCCTGTTTAGTTTGCCCATGGGTCTTGGTCTAGTTTTGCATGCTGCTGATTTTGTTACGATTAGAGTGACAAATATTTGTGGTGATGACAGAGTAAAAAATATGTAGGTAGGTGTTGGGGGCGGGTGAAGAGCATGAAGAGTGATATCTTCACATTTTGAAGACAAAGTTTGTCTAGATCGTATTTTTAGTAAGGCCAAACTAGATCCAAAAAGGTTTAAAAAAAAAAAAAGGACTTGTGCCCTGTTTTTGTTCACTTTTCTGCCAGGGTAGTCTGCCCTTGAAAATGCATGCCCCTCAAACATCTGCTATTCCTTGCACTTGCTGGCTCATTAATGACATTTTCCCAGAGACCTAGAAATAGCAAATTCCATTAAAAGGCTTATCATTAAATACAATACAGCTCTTTATGTCGGAGAAGGATGGCCTCTGAATAAGAGTCCATTAGGGCTGTGGGCTAGAAAAAAATGGGTCAGCTTTCTTTTAAGGGAGAAATTAATATAGCAGACAAGAGCCAGCAACAGTGGCGACATTCATCTTGCAAAGCCTCTTCTCTTCACGCTGCCAAAGTGCGTCCGTCCAGACTTGCTATTCCTGTCCTCAGCCCCTGGAGCAGGGCCTGTTTGTCCCAAAGAAGCCTATCAAATTATCTGGTAACAGCCTAAATAAACATGAGGGAGATTAGAACTGAGTACTGGTATGTGCGCATATGTGTGTGTGTGTGTGCGCGCGCGCCTTCTGAAAGCAGGCCAGGAAAGCAGACCTAATCAGTAGCTCATTTGCTGATCTCTCTCCCCTTTGGTAGATTCTAGTGTCAATTCTATGGGAGGTGGCTCATTGCTGAGCCTATGAGGTGTTGTTCCAAAAGAGCCAATGTAGAGAATCTTGTTTTCAGTGTTAGAGGCCAGAGCTCAAAAGGGCTGCCGAGAATCCAATCTCCTCATTGTGACTTAGGCAAGCTGAAGCACAAGGCATGATTGGACCTTGGTGGCTGGGGTTGACAGGCAAAGAAAGAACTAGCACTGAGCAAAATGGGAGCTGAAAAATGAACATCCCTTTGAGAGCAGCCAGGGATGCGGTGTCCAAAAACCGTAAAAACACAGGATTGTGTCAGGAACTCCTGTATTTTTTTATGTCTATAGTGGCAGAGCTGTTCAGCTGTGTAGGCCAGGGCAGTAAGGAGATCCGGAAGATGCAGTGATCAGAAGTCAGGGCAGTTGGCAGTTGGAAGTAGATGTTCTGTCCAAATTCAGCAGCATCCCCTGCTAGTAGGATATGGATGAGAAGACCCAACTTTACAGGAGGGAGCTGGCAGAGTACTGGGTTCTTAGCAAACAACATGGAAAATTTAGAGAGCTTCTGAGACATTCAAGGAAGCAATGTCTTGTAGGCATTTTGATGTACAGTTGTGTTAGTTTGGATGCTTGCATTATTGTTCACCAAATATTTACTCACTCCTGTTCCTCTCTCGAACTCCGTGAGCAGAGATTACTTCCTGACCCCATTGATAAGGGGCTTCTCTTTGCAACTGGCTTTGGTTGATCAAATGTTAGAGGATGCAAACATAGGCAGGGCCTTAAGTGTACTTGTGTGATTTAGTGATTGCCATGACAATATCATGTGTTGGTGGCCACTGCTCTATAGCCTGGCCCTAATAAAGCCAGATCTGAATCCAGCTCACAGCCTGAAGCCAAGCCCAGATGATCTAAAGCTTAGGGCAGATCCACTTAGCCACACCCAGCCTAGATCAGCTCAACCACTGTTAACCTACAGGACAATATATGTGTCTTATTGTAAGTCATTGAGTGTAAAAGGTATTTTGTAACGTGGCATCCTTGTGAGCATCTTTTCTGAGTATGAAACTCAGAAAAGATGTCTAAACCAGGGATTCTGGTTTATGAATTATGATCTCACAGGGGATACTTTGTTAATTTGTTCATTTACTTTTTCACTCGGTAAATATTTAGTACAAGCTTATTCTGTGCTGGATACTTCCATTCATTGGTGTGGAGGACACTGTCCAAGATTCTTAAGGAAAGAGGTCTCTTGGCAGCTTTTCCAAAGAGAATTTGCAGAGGGAGAAGAGGAGGACATATCAAAACAAAACAAAACAGAGAGCCCTGGGGATTGCTAGCCCAAGGAAGAGAGCCTAAGATCCTTCAGAGAGGTCAAAGGAGATCCAGGAGAAGGTGGTATTTTAGAAACCAAAGAAGGAGAGCCTTTCAAGAGAGGGATAGTGTTGATTGGTGGCAGATAGTACAGAGAGGTAAGGCAGGTGGAGGCCTGAAAAAGAAAAGTCGGGCACATGGCTCATGCCTGTAATCCCAGCACTTTGAGATGCTGAGATGTGTGGATCACATGAGGTCAGGAGTTCGAGACCAGCTTGGCCAACAAGATGAAACCCCGTCTCTACTAAAAATACAAAAATTAGCTGGGCATGATGGCCTTAATCCCAGCTTCTCAGGAGGCTGAGGCAAGAGAATCGCTTGAACCTGGGAGGCGGAGGTTGCAGTGAGCCTAGATTGTGCCACTGCACTACAGGGGCCTGGGGCAGCAGACTTTCTGGTAACATTGGTAGTGTATACCCTCAGGCAAGTTTTTGGGAGCAGGACAGCACATGGGAACAACCAGCAGATCCTTAAACAGAAGGAAGAACTTGCACTAGAGGAATGTGTTAGTCTGTTCTCGCACTGCTATAAAGAAATACCTGAAACTGGGTAATGTACAAAGAAGAGTTTTAATTGGCTCACAGTTCTGTTTCTGCAGCTGTACTGGAAGCATGGCCGGGGAGGCCTCAGGAAACTTTCAATCATGGTGGAAGTCAGACGGCAAACCAATGTGTCTTTCATGGCCAGAGGAGAAGGAAGAGAACAAAGGGGGAGGTGCTACACACTTTCAAACAACCAGATCTCATGAGAACTCACTATCATGAGAACAACCAATCCTCTAATATTGGGGATTACAACTTGATATATGATTTGGGTGGGGACACAAATCCAAACCATATCAAGGGGACTGGGAGAAACAGAAGCCAGCCCCCTAAGAACCGGCAAGATGTATGCGGCTAGGCTTCTACCCTTGATGGAAGTTCAAGTCCCGCTTCTTTACAATCTCAAAGGACAGGATCACCAAGCGAACATCAGACGTATACTGTCTATCTGAGAAAAGATAAACTGGATTTAACAGACCTTATCTTTATACCCTGGGTTAAGTTCTGAACCAGCCAAAAGAGGCTGGTCCACATTTCCTCACCTTTCCCAATGATCTTTTATTCCCATTGGTTTTAAGCTTACTGGATTTTTTTTTTACCACCTAAATTGGGTAAGCCATCTGAGCAGAGAGAGAAAATGCAGTCAAACACCACAATGGATGTGCCAGTGCTTTGCAACTGCAGAGTGCTGTGGGAAGGGGCACCTTGATGTTGTGATCGCCGAGCAATGTGCAGCTGTCACTCAGGCTCCCTCCTGCTAAGTGCCATTTAATGGACTTCAAGAATGTTATTTATCACCCCTTTTGCTTCACTGTGGGAACACCCTCACTTATGCAATAAAAATGACAAGTTACCCCTCTGTAGATGTTTCAATAGGCACTAGAGGTCAAATCTTCTCTTTCTCTTGTCTTGGGAAAAAAACCACACCTGTCACATTTTTAAAACAGATACAAAAGCTGGAGTCTGAAAAAGCCAGCCATCTATATTATCTTCACAACAGCAGACAGCTCTTTGGCTGTTGCTACAGGTGGGCAGGCAGTTAGTTACTTGGCTGGTTGGTTCTAGGATGCATGAGTCCACACTGAAAGCAATTATAGGCTATTTGAACTTTCTGCCAATATCAAATAAATGATCACTGGTGGCTAAACAGATACTAAGATTTATCATGAAACACTATCACTTCTAAAAAGATTATGGGCTAATTCTCTTAAAGGGGGCCTGCTGTAAAAAACAGTATATAACGAAATTAGTACTGACAAAAGGGGTAAGTTTGAGTC